GAGCATCCAGGCTGCCTATAGACATAGACTCCGGGGCCCCTGCCGAGAACATAGTGACGAGTAAATATGTTAGAGGCCCTGGGTTGGGTGCGCCATATATAGATATATATATATATATACATTTACACATATATATATATATGTATGTATGCATGTATGTATGTATGTATGTATGCATGCATGTATGTATGTATGTGTGTATGTGTGTGCATGTGTGTATGTATGTATGTATGTATGTATGTATGTACGTACGTACGTATGTATGTATGTATGTATATGTATATATATATATATATATATATTCAGGAGCCAGGAGCCATATTCAAGACATAGTGACGACGGGGCCGGGCCCGCCATAATATTGAGGAGTCATACTCATGAGCCAGATCTTAGTGACGACAAGGTCGGGTACACCATAGTACCGATCATGAGGCCCCATATTGAGCCATATTTAAACCATAGTGACGATGGGGTCGGGCACTCAATAGTATTGCGGAGCCAGATTCAGGAGCCAGATCTTAGTGACGACGGGGTCGGGTACACCATAGTATTGATCACGAGGTGCCCTATTGAGCCAGATTCAAGCTATAGTGACGATGGGGTCGGGTACGCCATAGTATTGAGGAGCCAGGTTCAGGAGACTCATTCAGGCACAGATGGGTACGCCATAGTGGGTACTTCCTCCGCCCCCCCGATCTCCATCCTCCGCCTTCTCCCCTCCTTTCATCCTCATCCTCCCTCTCTCCTCGCTCGTTCTCTCCCCAGGAGTTGGCTCATAGGGATCGTTGGTGCGACCCCCCACCTTCATGCGGGACGCGTGGGCCCCCATTTGCTTCTCCATCTCGGTGCTCAGCTTGAAGGCTCCCAGCTCGAACGCCAAGCGTTCGGCATTGTCCCTCTGCTTGCTCATGTCCTTCATCATCTCGAGGCACTTCTGCAAGGGCGTCACCGACGCCACAACGTTGGCCGTGGACTGCTCCACGCCTGTCGGGGGCGGCTGCTTCTTGCCGGGCACCGCGCTGCTGAGGTCGAACGCGTCGACGCTGCTGGCGTCCCCGACGAGGACCTGCATGTCGGCGTTCAGGACCCCGCCCTCACCGATGAGCGCCTGCAGCCCGTGCTTGTCCGTCTCGGTCGCGTGGGAGACACTCAAGGAATCTATCTGCTTGGTCGTCTTCGTATTCTTGAGGGCAGTGCGGACATAGCAGTAGTTCTCGTCGTCTTTCTCTGGAAACTCGCCATCTCTCAAGTATTGTTTCTCCTTCAACTTTTTCTCGATGAGCTTCTTCGCGCCGTCCTCCGCGTAGATCCCGAGCGCCGCGGTCTGCCGAGCCTTGAGCCAGGAGTACTCAGATTCGCCCTTCTGCTCATTCTCGAGGCGCCTCTGGATGACCACACTTACGCGCTGCATGTCTTGATCCTGCTCGAGCCAAAGGTTGAAGAGATCGGTCTTCTTCTTCTTGGTGGACAACTCGGTCTTCAGGCCCACGGGGAAGATCTCTTTGTTCGCGACCTGCCTGCCGAACTTCGCATGCAGATCTGGGTCCGTCACCGAGTTGCGGTAGGTACCTGGGGCTCCGCTTACAGGGCAAGCGGCGGGCAGTGGTTGTGGTGCTGGATGTTGCTGAATCTGCTGGGGTGGCTGCTGCTGCTGCTGTGGTGGCTGCTGCTGCTGAATCTGCTGGGGTGGCTGCTGCTGCTGAATCTGCTGGGGTGGCTGCTGTTGCTGAGTCTGCTGCTGGCCAGGGGCGTCTCGCTGAAGCAAGCGAGGCATCTTCGGCGGCGACGGCTGGGATGACGCCGTTGCTGCTGCCTGCGCTGCTGCGAGAATGGCATCCGCTGCGGCCGCTGCGCACCCCGAGGGATCGAGCACTCCGGGCGCAGTGGCTTCCGTCGAGCCGCCCCCCGCCTCCATGCACGAGAAGCTCGTTTGCAGCGCAACCATCTCCTCATCTGTGGCCAGCATATTTGCGACGCCAGCTGCCGAGCCAGCGTCGTCAGGGGGCGCGCCAGCTTCCTCTGGGCAGAAAGCCGAGTCGATGGCATCGAGGTCGGGGAACTCAGGCGCCGCATCCATGTCGCTGCGCATGCTCTCCTGGGACCCCTCCATGACGACGGGCAACGGCACGGCCGCAGCAAGCTGCTTGGCCCGTGGCTGGCGGCCCAACTCGCTGAAGGACAGTGTCGCACATGGCACAGGCGATCCAGGCAGCGGCGCACCCGCGAACGTAGTCGGGGTCGCGGGCGCAGCCTTCGGCACAGCCGTCGGCTGTGGCTCGCTCGCGGGCGCGGCCGCGGCGGGCCGTTGCGGGGGCGTAGCCGGGGTTGCGGACGCAGCGCAGGGGCTCGGCGCCGCGCTCGACGCCATCTCGCCCCCCTCCACCACCCAAAGGAGCAACGTGTCCAGCTCGTGCTTCATGTCATCCTCGTCCTCGAACTCGGCACCCTCGGCGAGCTTGGCGATCAGAGCGGACAGGGACGCGCGGCCGCACGCCGACGCGATCTTCTCCAGGGGCAGGCCGATCTCGGAACAGATCTCTGTCAGGTTCTTCTCCAGCATCTCCGCCACGTTTGGGGTAGCCGTTCCCCCGCAAGGCGTGGCGGCACCGTCGTCGTCGGGCTCGCACTTGACCCAGTAGTGCCGCACGTCTTTGATGCCATCGTTGCGCTGCTTCAGCCTGGTCTTCATCTCCACAAGCTGCGATGCGTACTCGGAGGGGAACCGCTGGTGCAAGTACGCCTCGGACCTCCAGTCGTAGTAATCAGGTGTCTCCACCTGAGTGGCACCGCTGGCAGGTGCCGCCGGGAGGACTGGCCCCACCTGCTCATGTGCGGCCGACGTCGCAGGCTGGCCTGGGGACAAGCGTACCCCAGGCATGCGAATGGCCGCCGCCAGCGCGTCGGTCTTCCCCCCCAGGCGGACCAGGCTCGGCTTGGAAGCGGGGGCTGACTTCGAGGCCATCGGCTTCGCCTGCTTAGGGCGGCTCAGCTCCATCCGAGGCGTACTCCTCTCACGTGCTGGCGGCGGGGTGCGGATCACCTCGCCCTTCGTCGCCACCACGCCGGACAGATCAGGAGGGGCAACTTGAGACATGGCCTCCAGAGGTGCGGTGTGGGCCACAGCGTCAGCAGCTTGGGGCGACGACCTTAAAGCACTAATGGCTACGGAACAGAGGCTGCTGTGTTCAAGCGTAGCCCGAATTTGTTTCTTGCGAGGTAAACCCAAGGACGCAACCCATGGCGCAACGGATAGGCGACGGTTGTATCACCGTTCCCCGCGAGGGTGCAACATATGGCACAACAGATAGGAGACGCGTTTATCCTCGGCCGCCGAGGGCGCAACATATGGCACAAGGAGACGGTCTTACTCGCGCCCGCCATGGGCGCAATTTATGGCACAACCGATAGCAGACGGTTTCATTATCAGCCGATGAGGGATCCCCACCAGCCCATCCAGACACGATGCCCATGCGAGTTGAGAGGTGATCAGGGGCGAAGTGCTGGAGCAAAGAGGGGGGCGGCCGAGCCGTGTGAAGGAGAGAGGGGCGAAGGAGAAAATTGGATGGATGGATGAGGGAGCAGGGACAAGGAGGATGAATACAATGAGGAGGAGGAGGAGGAGGAGGAGGAGGAGGAGGAGGAGGAGGAGGCGGAGGGGGAGGAGGATGATGAGAAGGGAGGAGGAGGGGGAGGAGGAGGAGGAGGAGGAGGAGGAGGAGGAGGGGGAGGAGGAGGAGAGCAAGCAAAAGGGTCAGAGGTCCCTTGGATGCTTCTCGGAGCCTCTTGGGGTACCTCTTGGGCGTCTTGGGACATCTTGGGGGTCTCTTGGCGGTCGTGGGGGGATCGTCGGCGTCTTGGGTGCCTCGGGGGGGGGCGTCTTGGGCCCGCTCGGGATCCTTTTGGGGGTCTCCTGGGGGCATATTGGGGGCATCTTGGGGCCGTCTTGGGGCCATCCTGGGACCTCTCGGGGCCTCATGGGCGCTTCGTGGGGCCATATTGGAGGAGATCGATCAAACATTCACTAAACCACCGACGCCCAGAAGGCTGGTGGGACTATCAGCCGCCGAGGCCGCAACCGATAGGAGACGGTTTTATTACCAGCCGCCGATGGGCACAACCTATAGTGCAACCGATAGGAAACCGAGTTGGGACAGGAGGAGGACGAGGATGGCTAGGAGGACGAGGAGGAGGACGAGGAGGGGGACGAGGAGGAGGAGGAGGACGACGATCAGGATGGGGGGGGAGGACGGGGAGGAATACGAATTGCATGAGCACGAAATCTGGGCATTCGCATGCACACGGGGCCGCGTCTGATTTTCTGTGAGACAGAATTATACAAGGTTCCTCACTGAGGCTTCGTGGCAACTCTAGGGGTCCCCAGCCCAAAGAAGATGAACTATTCGCTCCAAGTATAGTATGGTTTGGGCGGGCGGCGGGGATCAGGCAGCGAGCTGGCGTGTGTGTTGTGGGGAGGGCTGGGGTAGGGCTGACGGGGCAGGGGGAACAATGGCGGGGGGTGGAAGAAAACCATCTTACGGCATTTCACGCCACTTTACGGCTGTCTCACGGCCATTTTACGGCTGCGGATTTTTGTCACGGGGAGGGTTGGCGGGGGAAGGGGAGGGATGGGGAACCATTTTACGGCATTACACGCCACTTTACGGCTGTCTCACGGCCATTCTACGGGCGTGGATTTGCTTGGGGGAGGGTTGGGGGGGGAGGGCTGACACGTCAGTGGTATTATTTTTGTCTTATAATGGCGGAGAGGTTGTGTGCAGGGCGCGTCTCACGCAGCAGCGCGCAGCACGGGCATCGGGTGACGCAAGCGACGCGTGCACATGTTCACCGAGCTTCTCTTGGCCCCATGCTCAGCGCACATGCATCCACGGCCAGGCCGGGAGAATGTGCGCGCCGAGCATGGGCCCAGGAGCGGCGTGGGTGGGCGCATGCACATCGCTGGTGTCCATGGAGGCGCAGGTGGCAATAGGGGATACCACCTCCTACAGATCTAAGTACCCGAACACGGGCTTCAGGTCAGCAGCCGCCCAGCGGCGCTTGCCCGTGAGCGTATTCGTGGCGATGTCACGCGCGAGGCGCACCTTCACAGAACTCGATTTCTGGATCAGCGCCTGCCCTGCTGTCTTGAGCTCGGCCTCGGGGCCGACGTCAGACCGATCCGACTCCGATCGACGCCGCCATATCTTCGATCCTTCCTCCATTCCTCCGTGTGCTCCTCCTTCTTCCATTCCTCCATGTGCTCCCCAGTCATCATGACCCTTCATCTTCGCTCCTCGCTCCGCCCGCCGCAAGGCTCCGACGCCGACTGTTGCCGCGGGGGTGTCCCCCGAGGCGCGGCCGCCCGCCGCAGCGGGGGGGTGGTGGAGATCAAGAAGAGGAGGAGGAGGAGGAGGAGGAGGAGGAGGAGGAGGAGGAGGAGGAGGAGGTCGAGGAGGAGGAGGTCGAAGAGGAGGAGGAGGAGGAGGGGGAGGGGGAGGAGGAGAAGGAGGAGAAGAGACCGGAAGACACCAAGTTGAACGCATCAATAGCGTTCTCCACTCATTTCACAGCCCAGACCGCCCGATGCGCCATGTAGAGATCGGCAACGGCCTTGCCGAAGGCCTTCGGGTACGCCTGGCTGCCCTTCAGGCGGTGGTTCCCGTTGATTTGGACGGCGCCGTCGGAGGTCTTGACCATGTCGACCAACATGTTCTGGCCTGGCTGGTATGACTTCGCACCTTGGTAGTTGGGCAGCTCCTGGATGAACTCGCGCGCTGAGTATAGCCACGACGGCTTCGCCGTCGGTGCCCCGAACCGCCCCATTTCAACACACACCCTGTACAACTTGTGGCTCTTGATGAATTCCTGGAACCTGGGGTGCCGTTCCATGAGCGAGCCCCTCGGTTGTTCGAGTATGAAGAAGATCCGCCACGAACCTTGGTTCGCACGATTGGCATGTCGATGTGTGCTTGGGCGGCGCATGCATGCCCACATCGCGGCGCTATATTGGTTGCGCACCGCGCGGGGCCCACTGAGGCCTTGGGTGCAGCATTTCGGGGCCCATCTTGGGGCCCAGGGGATATTTGAACAATTGGCCCAGGGCCCGTCGGGGACCATTCGAGATTTTTCTATTGGGGAGCGGCGGAATGTACGGAACGTAGTAACATTCCTTTGCTGACCAGGATCCAGCATAATATCATCACCCGGGAGATCATCGTGTTGGCGTTGGCAACGTTCTCAATGGCTGGGTCTCCGAGAGGTTGCCATGGTCGTCGTTTGGTCGCCCCCCGCGATATCCACGCCCGCGTGCTGCACACTGGCGCACTGTTGGACCCGCTGCCGACGCGGCTCTTCACAAGCAGGAGGCAAGCATAACAGAAGCCAGCGTAATGTATGAGGTTCTGGTATGTGGCGTCGTTGAGCTTCTCGCATGGCACTGCAGTCAGCCCCTTGGCGATCATGCTGTCTGTCACCGCCTGCTTGCCGCCTCGGCACGATGTGAAACCGCGCGTCAGCTCGCCGTTTGGGCCTCATTGCCAGCCCGGACGGCAAACGTCAATCGGGCGTAGCGCCGCGTGCATTGGAATGCCAGCACTTCGTCCTCGTATTACTTGTATTCCTCCCCGTCATCTTCCCCATCCTGATCGTCATCGTCCTCCTCCTCCTCCTCCTCCTCCTCCTCCTCGTTCGCCTCATCCCCATCGTCTTTCTGGTCTCATTCCCGATCCAGCTCGGCTTCCTATCGATTGCGCCATGATCGAACGGACAATAATTCTTATCGGTTGCGCCGTAGCTTGCGTCCTCGGCAGTTGAGAATAAGACCGTATCCGATCGGTTGCGCCATAGGTTGTGCTGCGCTTGGCGGCCAACAATAAAACCGTCACCTATCGGTTGCGCCAAAGGTTGCGCGTTCGGCAGCAAACATAACACCATGTGTTATCGGTTGCGCCCTATCGGTTGAGCCCTTGGCGACCGAGAATAAGACAGTCGCGCAACGGGCGCAACCAGTCAGTTCAGTTCAGCCCAGTGCAATCATATTGCCTGGCGAGAAGCACACTCGGGCCACGCCCGAAACAAAAAGTAAGGTTCGATCAATGTGGGGTCGTACCATTTACGCCGCCAGCGACGCCAATCCACACTGAGAACTGGACAGGCGGTGGTTCCCAGGAACCTCGACAACCGCCCCCGCCGTTTTTTGTCGGGGCCAGGGCCCGGGGCGAGATGGGAGATAGAAGTGGAGGAAGGAGATAGGAGGGAGAAAAGGAGGAAGGGTGGCGAGGGTTGGAGCAGCCGGAGGCCACGCCACACATTGTAGTTTGCAGTGGATAGGGGCCCAACGAGGAGATGGGGAGAGAGCTAGGAGGATGAGGACGAGTAAGGGGGGAGAGCAGGATCTTGTCACACATCCTAGGTTGCTAATTGGTGGGTCCCCAACCATCCGTGATCGGTGTGTTTTTAAGGCAGTGGTTGAAGAATTCTGTCCAATCCACGCTTTCCGAAATGTCGAAGCACGGGCACGTCGCAATCTTCGCCGCGAGAGCCATGATCATGACGGGGGCCCCAGCCATCTTCATCAGCTGCAGCAGACGACGTTGTGTGCGGCGGCGGCTGGCTGCGCCATTGCGTCCAGAAGAGAACGGCTTGAAATTGCGGTGCACGGCCAACTTCGTCTTCTCCGAACGAGTTTTTGCCCGGGGCGAAGCACTGCTTTTCACCATTGCTGGCACAGGCTCGAAAGCATGAGCGAGGAAGATGGGGTTCCGTTCCCAGAGAGCTTGAGCAGCCCAGCTATACATGAGGGGGGGACTTGCGGGAGGAAGCGGGCGTCATTCTTTGGCCCATTCCCGATCTTAAACCCATGGGCCCTACGAGCCCCATGAGCCCCATGAGCCCTGAAAGCCGCATGAGAGCCCTATGAGCCCTACGAGCCCCATGACCCTTGCGAGCCCTATGCGAGCCATCTCGGCCCTATGAGCTCTATGAGCCCCGTGAGTACTATCCCTTGAGCCCCATGTGCCATATGAGCCCTATGAGCCCCATGGGCCCTATGAGCCATATGAGCCCTCCAAGCCCAAACGGGCCCTATGAGCCCGATTGGCCCTATGGGCCCCATAAACCTCATGAGCCTTATGAGTCCTATAGGAGCCCGTGCCTGAGCCCTATGAGCAAGCCCTGAGAGCCCTATGAGCCTTACGAGCCCTTGTGTGCCCTATGAACCCATCGATCTATATGAGCCTTCTGAACGCCCCCGGAGCCACGTGACCTTGATCTAGTCCTATGAGCTCTATGAGCCCTACGGGCCATATGAGCACCGCGAGCCCTGTGAGCCCTCTCGGCACTATGAGTCCTATAAGCCCCAGGAGCCCAAGAGCCTCATTACCCTTGCGAGCCCTATGAGACTTGAGCCCTCTCGGCCTTGTGACCCCTTATAGATGTGGTTTACGAGCTTATGCCCCCGATGGTATAGCCCTATGAACCCTGCGAGACGTATGAGCCCCATGAGCCCGATAAGCCTTCACAGGAGCCCTATGAGCCCGCTTTTCGCCCTACGAGCCCTATGGGCCCTTTGAGCCCCACATGAGCCATATGAGCCCGATGTGGGCCCTATGGGCCCTACAGGGCTCTATGAGCCCTCCGAACCTCGCGAACCTCATGAGCCCTCTGAGCTCTTTGAGCCTTCAACGCGAAGCACAGCGAGCTTCAAGTCTTGTGTGCGCATCTCTCTCTCTCTCTCTCTCTCTCTCTCTCTCTCTCTCTCTCTCTCTCTCTCTCTCTCTCTCTCTCTCTCTGTATCTATATATATATATATATGTGTGTATATCTGCGTGTGCGTCCAACATGCGCTAGTTGTTCACGCCAAGAGGGCCTGGCCACGACACTGCCCAGAGGGCTTGACCGATCGGGGCGCCAAGGGATGCGCGCAAGTCAGCCCTCAGAGAACGCTTGCGCATGTGTGGATGCGTGCATTCATGTTTGTATATGCGCATGGTTGGCTATATATATATATATGTGTATACGATGGCATACCATAAGTGTTTGTACATGTATACCGACATACCTTGATACACGTACCTACCTTCCTGAATACATGCATCTATGTATATCCATGCGTATACATAGACACACCTATCTACACATTCAATGTATAGTTGTATATCGGTATGTGCATATAGCTCTGCTCGTGCACCGGGCGGCGGGGCTGGGCGGCGCACGTCTTGCAGCCCCGTTCAAGGTGATGGGCGGCATCGCTGCCTGGCGTCGCGGGCGCCGTCGCCGCGCCCTCGCCCGAGCCGCTGTGCAAGGGGTTCGGCGGCCCCCTCCTTTGTGGCCGAGGGGGGAGGGCGGAGGCAGGGGAACGAGGGAGGAGGAGGAGAGGGAGGAAGGGGAGCGAGGGCGGAGGAGGCGGAGGAGGAAGGGTAACGAGGAAGGAGGGGGAGGAGGTGAAGGAAGGAAAAGGGGGAGGAAGGCGCAGGGCGAGAACAAGCGCTCAATACGCAATGGGCGTGCGCATAACCACCTATCTCACAGATGTACTCAGTGAACATTCGAACGACCGTAGATCTCGCATATTTGTCTTGCCGATGTTCTCAATGAACAATGATCGCTGACATGGACGCCTATCTCACGCATTTTTCTCAATGAGCACTCGAGTGGCCGCCGATCTCACATATGACGTCCACGCAAGTTTTCAAATAACAACGAACACTCATGCAGATGACCGCCAATCTCGCAGCACGGCCACCTATCTCGCACATGTGTCTCATGGCACCTCGAGCCTCTCTGGGCCGTCAGCGAGTGTTCAAATGGCCACATATCCCATCGTCTGTCTAATCCGCCCTCCTCCACCTCTATGCCCCTATGAAGTCCGACGGCTGTGTCTAGAAGGAAGAGCGATGGCAAGCGCGGGGAGGGGCCGGGCAGCGAGGACGGAGCGAGATGAAGCGGAGCGACGGATGAGGAGGGCGAGGAACAGGAGCAGGACATGCGCAAAGGCAAGCCACGACAAAGGCAAGCCACGATATCATACAGTATCTGACACGAGATGCATCTGGCACGAGAGGGCGCTGCAGCGCAAGGCGGCCTTCAAGGCGTCTATCCACCTCCTGGCGCCGCCAGAAACTCGCAGCGATACTGCAACTGCTATATGCTCCAGATTTCGCAATGAAAGGGAGGGGGTCTAGACCCTCCAAGACAAGCAATTTCAGACCTCCCCCGTGGGGGAACCCTCCAACACATCGCCCCCGAACCCCCCAGGCCCTCCAAGATAGCCTGGAAGAGACCCCCCTCCGACATGAGACCCCCCTCCCTTTATTGCGAAATCTGGGGTACTCTCGGGCAGCCTCGCACGCGCTCCTAATCCTTCCGCTCGAACTTGCACGCTTCTTTGAGTTTGGCCCACGCGGGCCCCGCGCCGCCCGACGACTGCCAGGTGAAATTCCTCTGGCCCCTGTGCTGCTCATCATAGACATCCCCGCTGTCTTTCACGAAGAAGCTCCTCGGAGAAAGGCAGGCGTGGCTTGATTTGGACCGCCCGGGTGATTTTTTTCTTCTGCCCCCCCCCCCCCGCTCCTGTTCCTAATGACCACGTCGACCCTCTGGCCGCGAGTGCCGCAGATGGTGTGCGAGTGCTTGCCGCGGCCGATCGCCCTCGGAAGCGCCTCATCGGGGATCCCGAGCTCCTCGCATTGGTAGTGCTTCACAGGGTCGACCACGGCCAACGCCGACGGCTGCTCGGACGTATCTGGTGTCTTGCGCTTGGGCGCAGATTTGGTGTTGGCTTTGGCTTTAGCTTTGCTTTTCCCCTTGTCGAAGCCGCCCTTATCCTTGCCCGTGCCCTTGCCCTTGCCCTTGCCCGTGTTGGGCTTCCCCTTGCACTTGCCCTTGGCCCT